GTATTACAGAATTCTACACCTGAAACCTATGTACCTTTACTACCAATTGTCACCCCAATAAACTTTAATTAAAAAAAAAAGAAGAAGGGTAACCTCAAGGCCAAAACGCCTAAGAAGAGGAAGCCCCACAGCAGTTGAAACCCTGTCCTGATCAAAGGAATCGGCAGGTATTCCTGATCAGCTATGTATTCCTGAAAGGCCATGTACAAGAGGAAGTATTCAGCAGCTATACCCAGGATTGAAAAGGAAAAAAAAGGAGAAGGCTCTTGCTACTGTCGCAAAACCAGTTGGTGGCGACAGAATGGTGGCACCCAAGTGGTTAAACTTCGCAAAATGCCTAGATACTATCCTACTGAAGATGTGCCTCGAAAGTTGCTGAGCCACGACAAGAAACCCTTCAGTCAGCACGTGAGAAAACTTGGGGGCAGCATCGCTCCCGGGACCATTCTGATCATCTTCACTGGGCGTCACAGAGGTCGAGAGGGTGGTTTTCCTGAAGCAGCAGAGCAGTGGCTTGCTGATTATGACTGGACCTCTGTCCCTCAATCAAGTTCCTCTATGAACACACCAGAAATCTGTCATCACCACCTCCACCTGTGGGGAGCAGGCTGTGAGCTGACAGGGTCCTCACAGCCTGTGGAACAGTTCAGGGAACGTTCTACTCCCACTGATCCATGAAGAGAAAAAAACAGCTGAAGCCGCAGGCACCTCTGAGAAGTGCGTAACAAAATGTAACCTGCTAAGGCACTCTGAGCAGTGCATAACAGGATGTAACGTACTACTGCCTAACTGGACAAACAGATCCCCTGCAGCTGCTTACTGCTATATAAGCATTGTGCAAAAAATAAACAAGACCATTGCTCTGCCATCTGCGGTCAGTGGATCTCCTGATCCCAGCTTTCATCTCTGTGTCTTTCTTTGCTTAATCTCCCACCCAGTCCACTCGGGTAGCTTCAGTTGACGAGTCGTCATCCACCAAAGTTGATATCAGTGGTGTGAAAATTCCAAAACGTCTCACAATGCTTACTTCAAGAAGCAGCAGCTGCATAAGCCCAGACACCAGGAGGGTGAGATCTTCGACACAGAGAAAGAGAAATACAAGTTTACAGAGCAGCGCAAAATGGATCAGAAAGCCGTGGACTCATACATTCTGCCCAAAATCAAAGCTGTTCCTCAGCTCCAGGGCTACCTCCGCTCTGTGTTTGTCTCACAAATGGGGTTTCGCCTCACACACTGGTGTTTCAAATTTATTACAAAGAGCCTAATTACATGCCTGATCTGTTAAAAAATAAAGTGGTGTGGCAAGTATCCACACTGATTGTTTAGTGTTTTCACATTTGAAAAAGGCCTGTATATCTTACAAGTGTATAAGAAACAGCAAAGTACATCATTAAATGCATGGAAATGGAATTATAATGAAATTCATCTCTTCATAAATCACTAAGCACTTTCTCTGACATACAGAGTCTTGGGGTTTCTCACATTATCATATTTCCTAAGAACTTTGGCAATAATTCTTAAAGTCTGTAAGTAGAGAAATCTTGCCTCTGGTCTGCATGGACACCAGTGGCCCTGCTCAGAGACTAGAAACATGGCCACCCATTTGATGTGAGGAGTTCCACAAAGGCCTGCTGACCCCAAAGAGCTCCCCCATAGTTCTGCCTCAGCACTGCCATCTTCATCTTGATAGCTAAATGAATTTTACTTGATCTTTTTCAGATCTTCTTGATCTGAAATATTACTATGAGAGACAATTCTTTGAATTAGAAAAGAAATCTACAATAATTTTTATCAGCTTGGTTATAAAAGGCCATTATTCAAGTCACTATCACCTGAAAAGGCTTTGTGAGTCTGTATATAGAGGAGCATGAAGACAGCTAACTCTTACAGTGTTACATGAGGAGGCTTCAACAATGCTCCGCTGTGGTCCGAGCTGGGGTTGAGGCTGTGGAGCTTGCTGAGGCAAGGTCAAGAACCAGAGGTGGCTCCTCATCGATAAAAGACATGAAGGTCAAGTCCCTGTAAGAGTTCTCTTTTCCCTGCCTATCAAGGAGCCTGAGGGCACCAACATTTTTCTGGGACCATCACTCAAAGATGAGGTTTTGAAGACTAGGCTATGTAAAAGCAGACCTGCACTGGCTACTGACCCAAGTTCAAGGCACTTGTTGCCATCAGGGACTACAAAGACCATGTTGGTCTGGGTGTTAAGTGCTCCAAGGAGACAGCCACCACCATGTGTGAGACCATGGTCCTAGTCCACCTCTCCACAGGTGGCGGGGGACAAGGCTACTGGGAGGATCAAGATCAGCATGTCCCATACCATCCCTTGTGTTATCGCCGACTCAAACGGGTCCACTTGTCTGTGTACATCCAAGCTATAAAAAAACATGAGCAGGAGTTTGCAGCAAAGAAAGTAAATGTTTATTTAAGGAGTTGGCACCAAGCCGAGACACAGATGAGCTAGTGCTCTCAAAAACCTGGCTCCCCAATGGCCTCTAGTTACTAGATTATAGAAGGGAAAAATCATTAATTATGGTTACTATTGGAGCTGGGGTCGTGGGCTCTACCATTGGTTGGGGCTAAGGCAGGAGCAATTGATCATGGCTTCAGGTCCTGGTGTCAGTCATAGCATTGTTCTGTCCAGTTCCCAGGGGATGCAGCCCATGGAACGTTCCGCTTTCAGGAATCTGGAGTTGAAATAGCAACTGAGGCCAAGCAAGGTGTTAGCTTTGTTTTATTAAACGTTTACCCTTGTCTGAGATTTGGTTATTATATCTTGGTCATGATTGATAAACATGAAGCTTTACTAATGATTAAAAAGAGCAGACACACAGAATAAGCACAGGTAGGAGAGCCTGGGGAAAAAAATGCAAGAGAGTTCTAGCTCTTCCAGCTAAATAAAGCTAGCTTGGGGCCGGCCGAGTGGCTCATTGGTTAAGAGCTGGCTTGGGACGTCAGAGGGTCCCCGGTTTGGATCCCACATATGCGGGCCAGTGACACTGCCCTCTACAGCTAAGATGCTGAACAACAGCTCAGCCTGCAGCTGTGCTGTTGTGAGAGGCTGGCGACGGGAAAGCTACAGCCCCTGCTGCAGTGGGTTGCCATGGGCTACCGTGTGTAGCCAGCAGCCAGCATGAGCAGCCAGCAGCTGCCGTGAGCTGCCGTCCAGAAGCCGGCGACTGATCTGCCTAGCCTGGGAAGAGCGCAATGATGGTGCCAAATTGGGCCAGTGAAGCAAAGTCCTCCACAACTAGACTGAAGAACAAAAAGACAGCAATTTGTCTGTTCCCCTTCCCCAAATTCCCCAATTTAAAAAATCTTTAAAAAACCAAATAAATAAATAAATAAATAAAGCTAGCTTGGATTAAAACAGAATGCATGCTGAAGAAATGAAGTTCATCTGCAGTTATACATGCAAGGTGACAGTCCATTGCACCCTGTGGTGGTACACCTCATCTCTACCCCCAGAGACCCTGTATCACCTGGGCCCCTAGGCCCAAGAAGTTGCTGAGGATGACTGATATGAAGGATTGCTACACCTAGGCCAGAGGCTGCACTGCCACCCTGGGCAACTTTGCTAAGGCCACCTTTTATGCCATCCAGCTCCAAGATCTATAGCGATCTCACCCAGACACCTCTAAAGAGACAATATTCACCAAGTTTCCCTATCCAGAATTCACTGATCTTCTAGTAAAGACCCACAGGAGAGTCTCCATGCAGAGGACCCTGGCTCCAGCTGTAGCCACCACAGTGTTTCTATACAAGGAAAATAAAGTGAATGCATTAAGCCTGTTTAAAAAAAAAAAATCACCCATGAGATGTGTCTACTATGGAAAATCCTGGACCTCAGCATCAGATATTCTGATTCAACAAGTGCTGCTGCTGTAGTGATTCTCAGCGCACACTGAGGCACACTGAAGTAGTGTTTTATTATTATTATTTTCCTCATTGGCCCCATGAAGCTAGTCAACACCCTGGCATACTCCTGATGGTTGAGGTAGTAAAAGACCACCAGCCAGCAAGTCCAGAGTTCTGCACGGAGCCTTGTGCAACCCAGTCAACTAATACTCACTTGCTTCTGTTTAGAATTACTCTTTTCTTTCCTTCTCTTTTTAAACTTCTTTATATTCTGCATTGTTAGTTCTTGACGGCTAGCACAAAATCTCTTTTTCATTTGTACTCTTTCAGGTCCCAACTGTCCTCTACTATTAGAATGGCCTTAATGTCCTGTTTTACCTCGTTAGAAATCCATTCTGCAAACTCTATTTAGAATTCAAAAACCTTCAGAGATATTATCTTATTACAAAAATAAATAAATTAAATAAATAAATAAAATCCATAAATTTTAATAGCTCAGACTTTATTCAATTAAAATGTAGGTTATGAAACAGTATTTGATGACTCGAGGGAAAAAACATGGCAAGACGTGAATTCAAATAAAATACTATTGGAGAACGGAACTAGAGTTTTATTTGTACAGTATACTGAATAAATTTTAATTTTTTTTTCCAGGAAGTAGCCACTAAGTTTTGCCAGAAAAAAGAAATGATAAGAGCACAGTTCTTTGAAAACAGTGTTTGTAGAGTTGCCTATGTGAAGTAAATCAATTTTCGATGTCACCAAAAAACACTTCATGTAAATTTCTGTGGGTTTGTATTTGGGTCCATTTTGAGGTTCCGCAGCTTATATCTGTGTTACAAAGCAGTTCAAGAGTTTTAAAAATAACTGCTTGGAGAAACAAGTAAGAACGCTGCAGAGAAAAGAAACAGTTTTGCTTTTAAACCTTTCCATTGTTAAGAACTGAGGGCAGGGAGTGTTGCAACACTCCCCCAACAGGCCTCGGGATCCCGCTCTGGGGCTCCAGGCTCCAGGTTCCAGGCTCAGGACACGAACTGGGTAAGTAAGCGCCCGGGGCGTGTTTATCTCGGTGGCTGCTGGACTTTTTCAGCCAACAGCACAACCAGCACAACTGATAGCCCGCCCACCGGGTGCCCCGCCCTAGAGTATCCAAAAGGTCGTGTCCACCTCCCCTGTCACCCTTCCCTGTCCCAGCTATGGCTGCACTCCTCTTCCGTGGGTCCCTGCGCTTGGGGGTCGGCTTATGCGCGCCGTGTCCATTGCGGTCCGCGAGGTGAGTGCCCACCGGCTGCAGTTGTCAGGGCCCGGGAGGCAGCAGAGAGCCTGCGCGCGGCTACACCACGTTTCCTGGAAGATTGTAACAAGGCGGCGGGCCCCAGCTTAGGTCTGGGCCGCGGGGAAGAAAGAGGGTGGCAGAAGGGGCCGGAACCGGGTGGGACCCACTTGGACAAGGGTAGGGGCATCGGCTGTGCATCCCTCCCCGCGGGAAAGCTGAAAGGTGGCTTTTGCTGAACCTTCTTTCTCAGACCCCACCCCATGCTCGTCAGGTTCTGCGGTGGACTACACTTTGAGGAGGTTTCCCGAGGCGAGTGGGGGGTGGGGGGCACCCGCTGGGCGCAGTTGCCTGAGCTCGAGCTACGATCTTCTGTCTTAGAACTGTGGCTGAAGGCAGTCACCGCTCAGTGAACTAAGGAGCGGGACTTCCAAAGTCTCGCAGATCTGGAGAAAACCCGGGCGCTGACCTGGAGAAGTGTCCCCCCACAACACAACCCGGGGCAGAAAAGACCTGGAGACGGCCCCGTCGGACAAGGAAATTCGTTTGAGATTTATTAATAAATCCTTTGATTAATTAAATGGAGAGGAATTAGTGGAGACAGTTTCAAAGTGGCCCAGTGACAATTAAGGTAGTGTTTATAAGATCAAAAGCTTCAGGTGCTGAGACTTAAAATCCATTCACTGGATACACTGGAAGCACTGAGGATTCACTATTAATGAGGGCAACAGGACGGATAAATTAGCTCATGACAGCATTGTGGTACTCTTAAGATGCTTTGGGAGCAAGGAGACAAAATGCTTGCTATTCCTGAGGAGGGTTGGGAAGGCTTCACTGAGGTGGTGACTGGGACTTAGGATACACATACTTTTCTAAGCTTTTCCCCAGGAACTTAATAAGACAGTGATCCTCAAACGTTTCGGTATCAAGACTCTTGAAAATAGAGGGTCCCAAAGGTCTTTTGTTTATGTGGGTTGTGTCTATTGATAATATCAATAGATATCTACAAAACTGAGAAATTTTACAAATATTTTGTTCATTTAAAAGTGACAGTAATAAACCCATTACATGTTAACAATTTTATGAAAAATACCCCCCCCCCAAAAAAAAAGTGAGAAGAGCGACATTGTTTTACATTTTTGCAGAACTTTAATGTCTGGCTTAACAGAATACCACTCAATTCTCATATCTGCTTCTGCTTTAAGTCTATTTTGGTTGAAGTATAGGAAGAAAATCTACTCTCATATAGAGAATATTGGATAATGGAGGACCTGAGGGACCCTCTGAATAGGTCAGGAATTATAGTTTTATTTATAACAGGCTTCTTAAACCTTAATGTGCATATGAATCACTTAGGGATGATGTTGTTAAAATACACATTGTGATTCAGTAGATCTTAGGTGAGATCTGAGATTTGTATTTATAACCATCTCCCAGATGTTGCCAAATGGAGGAGACTGTCTTACTTAGATAATATCAGGCTAATAATAATAATAACAACAATAATGATAATTAGAGTCTAGCATCTTAGATTAGTAGTAGTTTATTGCTTTAGGAATATAATGGCCAATTTATTCAGTACAAATTAGTTTTTATAGAGAGAAAAGGGGTCTGTTTATTCAGCACAGGTTCCTTGGTCTTTAAAGTAAGAAATAGATGTTCCAACAAACTTACTGCCAAGTGTTTGATTTTATTTCCTCTGCATATTCTGTCTGGAACACTTTTGACTAACCTGAAAGTCTTTCTTCTTTCTGGCATTTCTTTCACTTCCTTGTTTTCTTGTGGATTTTACTTAGAAACATTCCAAAGGCTTCCTTAACATAGCATGGGATACAAAATTTTAAGATTCAGGAAGAGTTGAATGTAAATTCCAGTCTTTTATTTACTAATTATTTTGACAAACGATTCAGTGTCTTAGAGCTCCAGTTTCGTAGACTCAGCACGTATTTCCTGTGAGGAGAAAGCCCAAGTATGGAGAACCTATATGGACAAATGGGTACATTACGGTTTTATTTCTACTAGCAAGAAATTGGAACCAATCATTTTAATTATGGGATAAAGGATTTTTAGTCTGTCCATTTGATGTAGCATGACAGTGGTCAGCAAGGATCCTACATGTCCTGGTCCCATTACCTCGGACGTGATCGGCTCTTCTTTTCACTCAATCCAGTCTCTCCACACCTGGCCTCCTTGCTCTTTCTAGAACACATCCGATACCATCTTGCCTTACAGCCTTTGCACTAATTGTATTCTTGGCCTAAAGTTATTTTATCATACTCCAGCAATCTGCTCGGCATTATCTTTAAGCATTGTCTTTAAGCATTTGCTCAAATCTTATTTTTCTAAGTTAACCTGCCCTGATTGCACTATTTCATACTACAGCCTTAGTCCCTGCCTGGTCCCAGACACATACACTCTGATGCCTGCTCTACTTTTCTTTCCCATAGTACATATCACCTTCTAACATATCATTTACTTCTTTATTTATCATTTAGTATTATTCAGTCTCCCCTGCTAGCCTGTAGACAGGGATCTTGGTTTTGCTTATGGTTGTATCCCGAGTTACCTGAACAGTGCCTGGTACATAACAGGCGTTCATAAGGCATTTGTTAACTAAATGAATGAATAAGCCATTAAAAAAAATGATTATTTCAATGACAGAGTAGCAACCAGAAAAATTTTTATGAAGACAAAAGGCAGACCAAGTATAAAAACTGTAGTATTAAATGTTCACAACTAAAGGTTACCAGTTAAAAGCCATCTCAGATTGTATTAACAAATAAAACTCAACTAAAACTTGCATATAAAAGATAAACCTAAAACAAAATGACACAAAATGTGTATTAAGTCAGCTCAGGCTGCCATAACAAAACAGAAATTTATTTCTCATCATTCTAGAGTCTGGATAGTCCAAGGTCAAGGTCCTGGCCCATTCAGTCCCTGGTGAGAACTCTCCTCCTGGTTATAGATGGCTGCTTTCTTATGTCCTCATATGGCCTCTCCTTGGTCCATGTGCACAGGGAGAGTGAGAGAGATCTTTCTCTTCCCCTTCTTATAAGGCTATCAATCCTCTTGGATTAGGACCCCGCCATTATGAGCTCTTTTAACTGTAATTACCTCCTCAAAGCCCATCTCCAAATACAATCACATTAGGAGTTAGAGCTTCAACATATGAACTTGAGGAAGGGGACACAATTTAGCCTATAGCGTTAAGCAAAGATGCATATACTAGAACAAAATAACCCATTCCAGGGGAAAAAAAGATAAAAACAAATTAAATGCCAGTAAACGTGACTGGGATTTTTTTGGACAAAGACTAAAATGCAGTGTCCAACTAAGGAAGAAAGAAGCCCAAAACTAAATTTAACAGTTTTGCTTTTAAACCTTTCCATTGTTAAGAA